GTGGATAGGCTGTCCACTCTCGTCACAAATTATTTCACTAACACCAGGTTTCCTGCTGTCCGTTTCCCGTACCATCCGGAATAACTTGCGACGGTTCCCGAGGGCAGCGGCCATTTTCATCTCTGATGCACGATGAGACCACCAAGATTCGCGGTCTCACTTCAGGCTTGCACGGAGTTTTGCCCGGAGCTCTTTGCGAGTTTCATTGTGTTCGCTTCTAGCCGGAATATACCGGCGAACATCGATAAGTTCCAGAGACGGCGAAGAGTCCCAATGTCCATGTGGACTAGTAGACTTACCACATGTGGATTTGCCTGCTGCAAGTAAGGTATGGTGAACATGCGACCCGTGACCATCAATTGTCTCTAGTGAGCTCTTACTCAACTCTCATGTCAGCGTAATTTGGTAGCCATTCAGAACAGTTGGCCTCGCCAGTTGGCTAGTGTCAATGTGATCACAGCCTCGTCGTGGGGGTCCGCCAAAACATATCCGCCTGTCAACGTCTACAAGTGCATGGTCGGTGTCCACAAGTGTGCTCCAAATCGAGCGACAGTTCTGGATGCAGCCTCTCCAGCAGTAACTGATTGCAATGTGATCGATCTACGTCCAAGGCTGGTTCGAGGCTGGTGGGCGCCAAGTCCCCATCTGGCGGGTGCTGCGTCGGAAGTTAGTGCTCGCAAGGAAAAGAGAGCATCTTACCACAAACGAAGTAACCGCTCACCGTTAACATTACAGGAGGCAACACCATGCTGACCGCCCAGATACATTTCATCAGTGGACAACTTTCCAACTTGTGGGTTCATATCCCCCGCCAACACAACGGTGTCCGTGCTTCTTCTGTGGAGAAGGAGTTGAGTCAGTTGGCGGTAGAAGTTGTCTTTTACCGCATCATCGCTACAGTTTGTGGGCGCGTAGGCAGTGATGAGGAATAGACACCTGTTAGTTCCGCACCACTTCGAAGCTTTGAACGAGTTGGTCAATCGGACCGCACACGTCCGCCTACTGATTGGGATCCAGTCAACCAGAGCAGCTTCATCCCGGTGATTGAAACTGCATCGTCACTGGATAAGCACAATGAGGAAGTGATGCTGGTGTTACCCGAAGGTGGTCGCAGAGTGAGCACAGAGCTCGAGTCTTGCAGGCGGGTCCCCGATAAGCAGCAGATTTCAATGGAGTGGGTCTCTAACTATTGGGCAATTGCTGCCTGTTGACCGATCTGTAGTAATGTGTGTACATTGAGGTTTTCCAATTTGAAGAAGGATCTAGGGCTTCAAATGGAAGCCGATGAACTGGAGTTGGCCGTTTGGTTGGACATTAGCTTGTCGACAGGGCAGGAATGACGCTCCTTGTTTGCATGTGAGTTGAAACTAAACGATAAACGACTAGCAAAGCATGTTGGGGAGGGCTACTTATCTGGGGTTGAGAACTGGGGGGATAAAAGTGAAGATGGAACGGGACTATAAGGGAGAAAAAGTGTATGAGGGGGAGTACGAAGACGAGATGGCTTCAGCAGTAGCATCCAAACCCCTATCCACCCTGCTCGATGCAGCAGATAGGGCACCGTTGATTATCCTCTGCGGTGGCCAGTGCATCAGGAATTTGTTTGTGGTAAGGTTCATAGTGTGTGCTTTTATTCCTCTAGACCAAATCATCGCGTGGTCTTCCCTCCTCCTTTTCCATCCACACTCGGTGCGCAAATAACGCACGATGCGGGAGTCGCTATGCTGGCATACGCAACACCTGACTCAGACGTCGGAATCATGTGCTGAGCGGTTCACTCGTTCTTCCTGCACCAAGTACGCGACACAGAACACGCTCATTGCTAACGCGATGTTCCCACCAGACATAAGCCATGCTGCGAAGGCAGCCTTGGTTGAAGGTAACTAACCTCTTTAGGTTGGGCGTTCCAATGAACTAGGTATCGCAACCTCACAGGAGGATTAGAACGTACTGCTGCATTGTAAACTTTGCCTATCAAAGCGAAGTAATGTCACGCCGGCGCCTTGTATGTCGTAGATTGACAAAAGTACCCCGAGCTTTCTCTATGCGGTTCGTGACGTCTTCATCAATTCCACTGGCGCTAATTCAGCTTCCCAGATACTTAAATTACTGGACGAATTCTAGCTGATCACCACCAAGGGTCTGCGTTGGAGTGGAACCCTAAAATTGTTGGTGGTCTGCGGAAGTCCACCTTTTGGTCAGCCTATCAAAGCCAGTATTTCTGAACCTGACGGCCAACCGCCACACCGCAATCCTCCGTGAAGGACCGTGAAGGATTTGAAGTCTGTTGACAACCCAAATAGACCATATCGTAACGGTTTTCACATGCTTTAGGCAAGCAAACGCAACTTCTGTATTTGGCCCGAGGAGGTTCCTACTCGCCTCTTTTTTGCCAGCCCAAGACCAAGACTGGAGTACGGCTCACCTGCCTACTACCCAATCACCAGAGAGGAGGCACAGAAGATCAAACGTGTCTGACGCGTCGTTCCCAGGCTCATCGCAATTTTTCGCGAATTATTGTTCGAAGACCGGTGCCAGGAACTAGGACTCTACAACGTGTTCTATCTTTGACTACGAGTCGATCTCATCACAATCTACCGTATATTACATTTCGGTGATTTCCCCGTGTTGAGGCCGCTGGTTCACTTGCAAACGCCATACAACACACACGGACATCGGTACAAGGTTGTGGTGAGGGATAAAAGACGATTACTCCAGCCCTTGTGCTTCAAACGGATAGTGGTGAACGTCGGGGACAGTCTGCCAGAACTGGCCCTGGTTACGAAATCTGTACAGTAGTAGTTGGATTTACATTTCAACACCATTAGGTCCAGAAAATGATTGCACAGTAGCAATGAGTGCTTGCATTTAAGCACGCAGTGAAAGTAAATAAATAAATGCTTTGTTCTCGGCAGTGCGGGGCACACCTGAGAAGGCATGAACATGATAACACAAACAGGTATGGTCGACAGCTTTATAAAACTATAGGAAGTTCGGCAGCCAAATACTGGATTTGTGTGCCTGTATATATGTAAGTGTAGTATTAGTGGGCATGCTGAGTGAATTTTTGAATTCTGACTAAATGCGTGAGTTTATTTGCTGTGTTCGCCATCGTATGAAGGGATAAAAGGAACTCTTCGTACTGGATAACGTTCGTGAAGTGCGGATCCTCAGGAAGAAGAAAAGGTAGTGACTTTATTTATTGGCGAGTCACATTCGCCCGGTCAAAGTGTTGTTAAAGGGACATTTGTGGCTTTTTAAAGGGGGGAACGCTTGCCAGGCGAAAACCCACCACGTCCTGGAACGCTGCCGCAGAACTATTCGCGGGAACGGGATTAACCCGAAACACCCAGCTGGCATCACGTGAAAGTTGTTCGGCTAGCCAGCTCTAAGTCAAACATTCAGTTGCTCATTCGTTCGCCGAGCTGGGAACTGTTTGCAACCGTTTCACCGCCTTGCGAGGCGGCATCATCAGTGCATTTCGATTTGGAGTGCAATCTCGCAACATTACACTGCACATCTGGTACCTGGTTAAAATCGCAGGGTTTTGTAGATTTTTCGACGTCCGGTTGGTATTGAACGCTTTCGGGTGATCCTCTGAAACGCATGTAAAATTAGCACGAAGCAATGCGTGATCGGCCTCTAGATAAGTTGACTAGTACGAACGGCAGTCCGTTACGCTTCCCTGCCATCTGTAGCTGATGGCCATGTGGTCAAGCTGGGAGCACTCTTGCGTTTGTGAGGGCGGGCGCCAGGTAGCGGTGTGTCTCATGGGGTGCTGAAAATTAGTGTTCGAGAGAAACAAGCAAGGATCAGAGCGAGATTACACTCCACTTCTCAACGCACTGATGTTGCTGCCGCGCATGGCGGTGACACGTTTGCAGACTAATTTCCCAGCTAGGCGAACGAATGAGCGAATGAAGTATCAACCCAAGCCACCAGTTTTCCGAAACATTTTAAATAAGTCAAACATTATTTGTAAATAGTAGGGTGATGTATTAGGTATCTGTGTAGGTTTGTCGCAGTTAGACACAGGCAGACAGCCACCACACATCCAGGAAAGCGCTAGACGGCCGTTTCGTCCTATTGAGACTCGTCAGGAAGTCGTTGCTCTGGGGGCCAGCCCTGTCCTCTGCACATTCATAACATGCAAGACAGTGCAGAATGAGTCGCGCCATATCGCAGCTGGATATCAGTCTTGGCGGTCCGCTGCCGTCGCTCATGGTTCAGTGATATAATTCGTTGACTCACAAGAGTATGGTCGTGGGTTCGAATCCGGCAGGATTTGGCGGGTGCGCACTACTGACAAGTACCAATAAGACGAAACGGCCGTCTAGCGCTTTCCTGGTGTGTGTGGTGGCTGTCTGCCTGTCTCTAACTGCGAAGAACCCACATAACAAATCATACATTTTAAACTGCTACATTAGAACTTAAAGGACGATTACCTTATCACAGATTGCATTGTTTTTATAACATTTTTGCTTATATTGTGATGGAGTGATACATATTAAAAATTCTACTTGCTCCCACATGTAGTAGTCAGGGGGCAACTTATCTGAGAAACAAAGTTCGAATAAATTTGGTTTAAATATACTACTCACGAGTATGAAGTTCTTCGCAGAAGAACTTCATAATCAGTGGCGGATGATTCCCGCTATATCGCATTTAGCTTGTATATATCAACGGTTCGCCATGCTCCCCATAGCGCAGTGGCATAGGCTACTGGCTGGCGGTGCAATCTCTAGTGGTCATGAGGTCGGATCCTGATATATCCGGTCATCTAGTGCATTTATGAGCATGTAGATTACTATTTGCTTCGGTAGCTACTTCAAAGAAACCCTCAACTAACTGAACTAGGGCAAGTCCAGCAACCAGATTAGAGCAAATAGCACTTTCCTCTTGCCTTTCCTAACTCACTGCATATATTACGTTCAAATATATCTAGCATTTGAAACCCAGAACACCGATCTAATGCGTGTTATTTTCATGTTATACTCCAGCATTTTCCCGGCCCAGGGGCTTATACGCTACCGGACATGCTGTTGAAGAAGGTTGAGAGGTGGGGACCCAATGGATTACCTATTCCAACAGCACCGTTTAATGTAGAGGCTCAGGTGAGATCAAATTTGTTCCTCCAGTATCCATCCACCTGTTTTTGAAGCCAGTTTCCCTGTGTCTGTAAACAAATCATAATAACTCTGTTCAAAGTTAGCTTTTCACACTTGACTGTTGCGTATCTTACATTTATGAAATAATTATACATTCCATAACCAAGTTGTGAAATTCGACGAACTTTTTGAATCTACACCAGCCATGTCTTAGTCACAGCCGTCGTTTTAACCAACGAAATTTCTTTATGTAGCAACCTAGTGCAGGATATTTTGTTGGACTCCATTTAACCAACCGATTACTAACGTTCGTTTGCATTCCCCTACTAGAATTTCTTGATACTCATTCAGAGTGCAATAGACAGTCACAGCCACATGTACTTATATTTACTTGAGTGCAAGCGTACAGCGGTTAAACTAAGAAACACCATGTTCTATAAAACAAGCTGCTGTAATGATTTGTAATGAATAATCAAAAGAATCCAAGTCTAGTGTTACAAAAATTTAAAGAAGCTTTTGTCTAACAACATACCATGCAAATATAGGAATTCCTATTCCACTTATCTGATTGCCTCATTTTTCCATCCCAAATGTGTTATGCTCAAAGCGCCCTTTAGATCTGTTTGACCGCCGCAGCAATTTACCTGCCCAGTCTAATCACAATGAAGCGCGACATTTTGTCAGCATGAAGCTCAAACGAAGCCTACGCAGTGATCATGAAGCATGATGATCTCAGTGCGGTTCGAAAATGGAAGCTGCTGACCTGTCTGGCAATGCACGCAAGTCCTTTCAGCTCATTCGATCCACTGGCCACAAAAATACTACTGTCCTTAAGACTATTTGCGAAGAGTATGGTTCGCTGATTACCAACATACAGAGACCCTTGGATCGATAGTCCGAAGGATCTTATGGCTAGTTTAGTTGGCCTTCACCATTCACTTATATGCCCGGCGAACCAACGTGCCGGCCCTGTGTCGTCATCCTTGATCCATCCAGTAAAGGAGAAATTTTTCTAACGATTGGACACCTAAGGCGATTCAAGACTGCAGGTTCAGGTAGAGATACTTCGGATCTGTCCAAGTATGGAGACGCAGTTATCATTAGCCACCTAACCTCCTTCTGCTCCAAAATCTGGCATGAAGAAAATGTGCCTTCTTCCTGGGCGAATCAGATATGGTGCCGAATTTAAGAAGATTGTTCACGCCTTATGCCTCAAGAACTGGGGGAATAGTTTCATTTCGGTTACTTCAAAGCTTTTGACATCTATTTTACGCCGTAGACTATCTCTCATTCGTGAATGGAAGTACCGTATAGAACGAGTTGGCTTCCAATCTGGCCGTAGATGCGTGGATCAAGTATTCACGCTCCGCCAAATCCTGGAACACCGCCAGATCCTTCAGAGGCCTACCATTGTTACATTTCTAGATATCAGTGCTGCATTTGACTGGGTTGATCAAGGTGCAATATGGCATTGTTTTCTAACGAATGGGGTCCCAGTAAAGTACACTACCATCCTACGCGCACTCCACCACCAAATCTCCGGCAGAGTGAGGCTATATGGCAAACTTTGTTTATCCTTGGTTGTTAATAGCAATGTACGACAGAGCTGCTCTATGTCCTAGTTCATCTTCCGTATTGCGACTGTATAGTCGAACGCTGGAAGCTCATTTTAACTTTGGCATATAGCTATAACGCGGTAAGCGATCGACCGACTCAGATTATGCTGAGGATATCGCAATATTAGCTGACTAGTCGCAGTGTATGCAGCCCCTTCATAACCGTTTGGCGGTTGAGGCATCAACTTACGGAATGTGCGTCGGCCTGTCGAAGTGTAAAGTACCGCTCCAAGATTAACCTTTCCATGATCCTGCGCTCGCACTTGATGGTACACAACCTGAAAATGTAGATAACTTTTTCTATGTATCCAGCTGCGTGTCTGCTGGTGACATTATTGAGATGGGAGATTACCTCCGCGTCGAGGACGTTTGTTCCTTGTTTGTCAACCTACAACATTTGTGGCGCCGGTTGGGAGTCTCCCTCTTGGTAAAGGGCCGTGTTTACAATGCTACAGCTTGGGCAGCTTTTCTATATGGAAGCGCGTCGCGGCCAAGTCGCATGGATGGCATGCGTCAACTGACGGCCTTCGACAGCGGGTGGTTGAGGAGGATTGCTCCTGTGTGGTGAAAAGGTATCTGAAACGGGAAACTCAGAAAAAGTGACTTAGTGATTGTGAGTATTTCCTGCAAGAAGCTGGTTTAGCTGCTTCAGTTAAGATGTCTTGGTCACATTTCACGTGTTAACTGAGCGGCCACCCAATTGCAACGCATGCGTCTGTGCAGGACTTGGTTGTAAGGGACCACGCGATGGTCAGCCGTCCACCTGGCGACAACAAATGATACCTTTGGTTTCACTTCTTGCTGCTTGGTTGCGAACCAAGGGACGAAGGGTGCCGGTGGCTAAAAACAATTCTGGATATGGTGTGCAACAGAAACCAATGAAATATCAAGATACATACCTGATTAGATTCATATGCCTACTGCTTAACATTTGCAACTTAAAAAGAAAACCAAAAATAGATTGTGAGAAACAAGAAAAATGTTCCTGTTTTCTCGTGCTGAACAATAATGGAACTGCGTTGTTACCCATTAGTTAATGTGCCATGATGATGTAACGATTCAACCTGCCGTCTTACTTTGATTTCCTTGATTTTGGTTGACCCTTTTTCTATTTGTTATACTGCTGCTAATGAAGAAACTGACAAAATTAGTCCCCTTGGTCAGCTTCTCCCCATGAACAAGTTCGTCCATAGGGGCACTACTCATAGAATAAAATGTTGAAGACCGACGAAAGGTGGTCACCATAGACGGGTAGTCGCCATAGACAGGTGGTCCCCATAGGAGATTTAACTGTATATATATACTTACAATCGACTCCCGTTTTGTTGCTGCAAAGGACACCATTTAGCACAAACTGTACTCGCAGCTAAACAGTGCTAAGATTGCATGCATCGGTACTGTTGCACGGGATATGAATGTGCAAGTAGGTTTTCTGGGCTCTTCAAAAGCTCACCTAGTAGTTATGTATGGAGTTAACTCCAACCGGACGGACAATGGCGAACGTCTGTTGCAACTGTGTATCATGGTAGCACCACTTTTGAACACTGTGGGGTCCAAATTGCCAATTGGCCTCTCCCTTTAGCTGGCAAGCGATGGATCCAACTAGATGATGTTGCCCTGATTTTTGATGGCATGGTTCCATTCTAGATTGTCACCTGTTCTGGGATATTTTAGCCGATTCTTGTCATACATTGGTGTGCCGTATTTTTTCAGGAACTTTACTGAGACTTTACTGTGACTGACAATTAAAAGGTTGTCTCAGCCCTATACCAGGCAAAACTACCAGGACGCCCTGTGAACCGAACTTTCGCTCACTCGTCCAAATGACACTGAGATTCAGTAAAATAGTACTTCGACTCTTATACAATTAGAGCAAGCGTCTGCTTATGGCACTATTGATCGTCACCGCAGTAGAGGATGGATATCCAACAGTTCGTTGAATTTGTTGGAATCCAAAGTAAAGTCCCGGCTGGCTCTGTGCTTAATGTAACTAAACGCAATATAAGCCATATATAAGTCATAGAGAGCGGGCAGTAGGGGAAGGAAATTCTTATGGATGCCTTTCCTCAGTAGACAGTATAACAATATCGTCCGATCGACAGAATCGATGGCTGCAGCGATATCCAAGAACACAGCAATCGTTGGCATCTGATACACATGGCGAGGTTCAAGGATGTGGCGGAGTGTGAAGATTTGATCGATGTAGCCTTGACTGAGGCGAAGCCCAGCTTGTTCTTCTCGCTGCAACGATTCGAGCGTAGGAGATAGCATGCGAAGTAGGATGGACACCAGCAGCTTAAAAGCGACGGGGACTAAGCTTAATTCTCTTTAGTTGGGGCAGAAAATGCGTAGACCTCTTTGAAGATGGTGACGACTGTCGATGCACCCCAACTTGATGGAACGTCCTCTTTTGACCAAACTTTCAATCACAAACCAGTGAGTCCTCCGACCAGCAAAGCACCACCATCTTTAAATAGAGCTAGGGGAAAACCATCAGAGCTTTATAACGCTTCATGTGGTCGAGCTCCAGATCAATTTTCTGGTAGGAGAGAAGATTTGTGTGGTAGACCACTCGGCACCAGTGCGAGCTCCAGAGGTTGCAGATGGATCTGGGAGCCAAAATAAGCTGCGAACTAAAATGTTCGGCCCCTCGCTCCAACCGTCGTTGAAGCTTGGTGATTAAGATGCCATCCTTTTCGCATATTGGTTCACCTACACCAGATCGAACACCTTCGGTGACTAGAATAATATGGAATTCTTGTACTGCCAGAGGAAGTAGCAATCTCCATCTCCCTAGCACGTTCACACCACCAAGCTTCGCGTTCCACTTGCAGACTCCTGCGCAAATCTCAACTCGGGAAATGTCGTTCTTCACTATGCAATCCGACGGGATCAAGCGGTGTTTTTCAACAGCGACAAGACGGTTACAATCCAATGCTTCGGTGGTTGACACGCAACTTTACTAGTGTCGATATCGGCGGAAACTAAAACATCTTTGGTCTGCGCCCACTGCGAATCGAGGTCACCCTCAATAGTCGAGCCAAGCAATGTTGACATCGAGGCTTGGTACCTGGTTAAAATCGCAGAGTTTTGTGGATTTGCGACGTCCGGTCGGTATTGAGCGCCTTTAGGTGAGCATCCTAAACTAATGCGAATCTTAGCACGAACCAACGCGTGATCGGAGTCTAGATAGGTTGTCTGGTACAAACGGCAGTCCCATATACTTTCACGCCATTTGTAGCTGATGGCCAGATGTTCAAGCTGGGAGCACTCTTGCGTTTGTGAGGGCGGACGCCAGATAGCAGTGTGTCTCCTCGAGTGCCAAAAGCTAGTGCTCGAAAGAAACAAGCAGTGATCAGATCAAAGAGCTAGCAGTCGGTCCCCATTTTC